AGTTGTACGCGGAGCATCTGTTGTTCCCTAGGTGCAACACCTTCAGGCCCAGTGGACGCCGAAGTGCCACTTGGCGTCCACCTATAGCTGGCCAGCGGTGGACGTAAATGGACCACATTGCCATAAGTCACAAGTGGCGTAGTTCCATCCTGCATTGTCGGTCTCTCTGGAGTACTTACCTTGACTGTTCATGACTTGGTACGCCGTCTTCCATGAACTTTACCGGGAGGCGCATCAAGTGTCTCCCTCGATTGGCAGCAGGGAAGTTATCCCTGTCCTCGGTCAGGTAAGCCTACCAGGATGCTCTGCGTGCCGAAATTTTGATCTCGTTCTAATGACATTGAGTTTCAGTGGACTAGGTTCCCTTTTGCCATGTACGATGCTGGAGCCTCTGCGTGCGGCACTATCAGTCATCATCGTATCAGTCACGGGCTATCCGAGAGGTCGGTGAACCTGTTGGAATCCAGAAAATTCCGGCTGGTTCTGAGCACAGTGTGACCAGACGGACTATTAGGTACCTATTAAAACGGTGTCTGTGTGCTGACAAGGAAGTCTGCTAGACTAGTAGGGTCCAAGAAATGGAGGAAGCAGGAGTAGTAGGCAATTATCGCAAACCCTTGCAACTGCTCCGCAACACTCTTTTCAGAAGACCAATCCTCAGCGAGATAATCAGAGACAGTGCAGGTGCCCTGGTTCCCTGTAAGGAGCGCCGTATGGGTCATTGCGCGGAGCACTTTCGGGTGCAGTTCTTCTGGCCTCCTGTTTCCGGACTCTTTCCCACTCAGGTGATGCAGGCTGAGCCATGGTCAGTTGGAAATTATTGAGAATACCTGTAGCTCGGGGTGTGGGTGAGAGGATTGTCCTGTTCTCCGAGCCGGGCATTTCGGTTGCAGACGTTTCGTTGCCGCACTGAAGATGTTGCCTAGTTTAGAAGCGAAACGTCTGCAACCGAAATGCCCGGCTTGGAGAACAGGACAATCCCCTTATGGTCAGTTGGTTTAGAGGCTCCATCGGAGATTTAGGTCCGAAACGTAATCACAGCCTTTAATGGTTTTGAGGCTCCGAGTGAAAACTCTCTGGAAACCGCACTACTTCAGGATAGGGGTGAGATTCTCTGGAACCAATGACCTCCATGCTCGAAAAACTCTGAAAGGAAGAAGACATCCCCGCCAACTGGAATAAATTGATTGAAGTGATAATATACAAGAAGGGAAGTCGCACCTAGTGTGATAACCACAGGGGTATTAGCTTAACCCCAGTGGCGACATAATTACTGACCTCAATTCTCTTTCGTCGCTTCACTGCGGAGAAGAAATCTCGGATTAAGGAAGAGCAAGCAGGTTTCCGTTAGGATGAGACTACGGACCGTACAGACACTGCTGCAGGTGCTAGTACGATGCCACACGTAACGCAGATCAACAGTAGCTGTGCTCCTGGACTTCAAGAGTTCGTTGGATCCAGTCGATCGATCCATTTTTTTCGTAAGATGTACTTATGGAATATGTGAATATTTTACGTGCTCTACTCGAACATCACGGGCCGCGTCAGCGTCTACGGTGACCTGTCTTATAACTTTCCGACAACAAGTGACGTTCGTCGTGGTTACCCAATTTCACCATTTTTGTTCAATTTTTTCTTGGACCTATTCATGGAGTGTTCCTTCGCAGAGCCTCATGATGCAGGCGTTGAGGTGCTGCCTAGTGAAAGGCTACTTGATCTAGTTTATTCGGACGATATTGTCTTGTTGATAAACGAAGTTGTACTGGCCCACTCAATACTAAATAGACTGGTCCCATCATTTGGCGCGCGCTTCGCACTTTCATAATGCTAAGTGTTGTTGCAGGACCACTTGAGTACCTCCTGACTTCTAATAGCGAGCGATTCGGAGTTGATCAATTCACTTACCTAGGCAGCTACATTAACAACGACGAGCGCATAAGCACTGAAGTCAGTTCACGTACCTCAAAATTAGAACTGCCTTCTTGAGACTACAACATTGTGGCGTCGGAAGGTGGTTTCCCTCGGTCTTAAAGGCTGTGTTTACAAGGCCACAGTGACGAATGTCTTATTCTGTGTTGGTAAGACTTGGCCCCTTCGGTTAGAGGAGCTTAGGCACATTCAAGTCTCTAATCATCGCTACCTGCGAAACATTCCTAGTGTCGGGTGGCACCAGTGTGTCCGGAACGATGATGCGCGCAGGCAATTGCTAGGTAGTAATAAGCAAGCTTGTTCCTTAGAACAACAAATAGCACTGAATAAGTTGCTTTGGCTTGTGCATGTACTACGTATGGCCGCTCACTGCTTACCGAAGATGGCCTTGTTTTGTTTGGCGGATGTGGAGTGGAGCTACGTCTGATGTGGGCAAAATTTAACTTGGCAGCGGAAATTAAAGTCACTAGCTGCATAACTTGGGGCTTTTGGTCCGTCTCGCTCTTCAGGCTGGAATCCACATGCCCCGCCTTGTGCTTGGCTCGAGACGTCACAGGGCATAGTTCGCACTCGGCACCAGTGGCGTGTCTGCTGTCGTCTGCTAGTCGACCTGCTGGTTTAAAATGTTGCGCTGAGTTATCTGCGGAGTAAAAATGGCATCAGCAGTTCGCCGGTACGCAGTACCGACGCTTCACTGCCACGCATCGAGCATCAGTCGCGCGTGAGCTTGGGGTACTCTGTGGGTTGCCCGGTCCCCGCGCAGGCTCGAACCCGCGCCCTTGGATTACAGGGCAAGCTTGTTATCATTAAACCTACGGAATGATGGCCGATGCCGCCTGAACTTTGCACGATAGCCAGCTGTTTATGATGGTACGTTGTTGACATGTTGTGGACGCCTTGACCCTAAATGCTTGCTTAGGGTACTAAGGTTTTGCACTATACCCCTCTTTCTCCCCCTGTTATTGTTCTTCGCTCCTTAGGTCACCGTGGTTGTAAGGCAGCGACGCGTCAGTTCAAATACTGATGTAATACTATTGGTGATTATAATGATAACTCAGGCTAAGTTTCGGCGTGCGGGAGCTTTTGCCGTAAACGGGAATTATTATTCAATTGACAGAAACTGTGCGCTGCGCGCAGTCTTTATGTTAGCAACTGCTTTGCAGCACGAACATTCACGTGTCATCTGGCGCCCATTGAATTCCTCGATGACTTGGACGCAAGTCGACGATATCGCCATCAGCTGTAGATGGCGCATATCAGTCCAAGACTGTCGGTCAATTTGATGCACGTGCCTGGATTTCGGCCATGCTCTAACATGCGCACACTTGGTGCTCATTCTTGCCGCTTCAAAAAAGCGCGTAAATTCTAAGCTTCCCACTTTTAATTGCAATTCACAATTCAGCAAATTTATTTCGAACTGCACTACAAATTGTCGATGGTGAATAAGGTTGATGAGCCGAAAGCTGACTGGAATCGTCTCAAGCATGACGTGAAGAGTGCTTTTTTATGCATACTGTATTCCTAACTTGAGACGTCCGAACTGTGATTGGATGCCTAAAGCTTCGATCAGCTTGGTCGATGCACGAAAACAAGTTTCAGTTGGAACTGAAGTTCAGCGTTTACCTAAAGCCGTGAAATGGAGACCGACAAGGGGTCTTCCAATCGGTGGGGAACGTTGGTGGGTTGCAAGCGCACGCGAGATGTGGTAAACCAGTTCTATTGGGAACAGCCGAACACTACTGCTTCTCATCCAGAACATGGTAGCAAGCAAACCCTATTTTAATGAGACAATAGCTGAAGAAGATGGATAATTGGTCCATTCTCAGCCGAGTAGACTAACCAGTTGGGTTTAATATTTTGAAGACCATTTCAACAAGCCTTCTGCAACGCTACCGTTGGCTGAATCATTTAACCCCATACGGGAATTCGATGTCACACCTCCCACTTGAGAGGAGATTCGATATGAGCTTACTGTGTTGAGACGAAGCAAGGCTGCTGGACCCGATGATCAACCTCCATCTTTGCTTAGCAGTATTTGGTATACTGAAGGGTCTTCAGATTGGCTAATGTCAACTGTTCTACCCATCTTCATAATTGGTCAACGGACCTATGCAAAATCATCCAGACATTAGCCTCCTTTTCATTGCTTTCAAACTTCACACAGGTATTCTTCTTTGACGAATTACTGAATCTCGTGAGGGCCTAATAACTGAAAGCCAGACTGCACTTCGTCCTGATTGGGGCTGCATGGACCATATTTACTCTACGCCAGGTGTTCGAGCAGCGGCACTAACTGACGACCGATTGGTAATTTTTCTTGATCTGACAGCCTCTTCCGACTGGTGTATGAGCCAACTTATGGCACTACCTATCCATGAACGGCGTGCAAGGGTTTACTCTCGCTCCTGTTAGGACCACTGGACCTTATACAACTCAGCTGGACTGTCCATAACCCGGTGTTCACGTTAGACGGGTTGAGATTGTGTCGAAAGCAAATATACTATCGCATCACACAAATGTTACTGGATTTATCGAGGTAAATTTGATATACTATTTAACACTATTACTGATTTTTGAATTTTTGTACTGTGTACTTTTCATATTGCGGCACATTAGCTGAGGTGTGTTCCTCACCCTCAGCTAACGTGTACTGATGAGATTGAGGTAAACTAAGATCCGTTATCATGTAGGAATTACATGCCTTCTTGACTGAGTAGTGTTGATGTCATCAGCACTTGGATGGTATCTAACTAATCACTTTATGTCCTACAACACTTGACCACGTTTTACAGGCTCGATTAGTTGAAACATCGCACTTATGACGCTTTGCGGAAGTGGGTAACGGCATTTAACCGCCTACTTGGGTGTTTGTGTTTTTCTTACCAAAACTAATCATGGTTAGCACTAATCATTTGAATCATCTATTACTACCTGCTGCTACTGGCTATTTATCATCTTTCTTTTTTCAGTTCTCGTAATTACCGACTTAGCTAACCGGAGGGCACTTATCCGTAACTCTGCTGAATGATTTACGATTTGGCAGCGCATGCAGCAGTCTTGCACACCACTTTATGTCACCATCGGTTTGTCCTACGCATGTCGTGACATTTTACTGTTCAGGTGATTGTGAGGCAAACACTCAACGGATCACAGCTGTTGAGAAGTTATTTGGCTTTCCAGGCAAGGTATGCATATTTCTCCGTCTTCCTGACGCTTTGTCTGAAGAGATTGCATACACCCAGGCGTGTGCTCGTTGGTGAAGGTACACTGACTAAAATTTGCAAACGAAAACCGAAACAGAGGCATTTCTTTCTTTTCAATGATATATTGTTGTACGGTAGCATACTTTTACAGCGAAGAGTGAGTTGCTTTTCAAATTTTCTTATATTTGTTAGCTGCAGAGCCCCCACTTTATCGATTTGATTGACACCGAGGTGGCGGATGTTGGGGACAATGGAAGTGCGTTTCTTTCGCTAAATTTGCAACGTTTTCTTAGTTTACCAAAACGGGTTTTCAGTTTTAAATCCAAGGAAATCGTTCACTCTTTATGCAACTACTTCGGACGAGAAGCTACAGTGGATAGTACATTTGAGACGGTGTATTTCTGAGGCCCGACTTTTGGGTTAGTCGTCTTTTTGATTAATGTGTCGTTTGGAAGTTCGATCTGATAATTCAACTTATCTCAGGTTTTATTTACATCAGTCATTTCCACATCACTACAATGCGTTGAACGAAGATAACATAACAAACGAGATAACTCGGAGATGTGTAGATACGCTTTGATGGTCTAACAACGGAAGCACATGTGCGATAGGTAAAACCAGACGGATGAACGGAAGGCAATACTACGGCACTCACTTTTACTTTAGAATCGAAGCCCTGTTCCGGGAGATGTTAAACGCATTAGTTAGGCTGTAAAAAGTTGTGGAATTTTGAAGAAAACCAATCAAACTTTTGTACTCCGTAAATCGTATGGATCTATAATTCACTGATGTTCCAGTATCCGAGACAGCGTCTGCTATCAAAGTAGGGTATAAAGAAGAGTAAACAACATCATCTGTTCCTCCTTTTTTTGGTGTTCTGAAGCTGGCACTGGCAAGTTTCAATGTTGCGTAACTGAGGTGTGTGAAAGAATCCAGTGTTCAGATGTTAGCACATGCAAGTCGCCTCTAGCGCGTAGGCTGATAATCGAAACATTCTCATCTCTACCACCACATAGTTTCACACTAGCTTAATGTAGCTTGCAACTGACAAAGCTGGTTTCTTCCACTGGAAGTTCGTGCTTCCGAGACCAAGAACTCTCAGTCGTCATGGTCGGCCTGTAGCCTAGAGGTAACGAGCTTGTCTCGTAATCTTGAGGCGCGGATTCGAATCCGCGTAGGGGTGGACGTTCTCGCGGTATACTCAGCCCGCGTGCGACCGGTGGTGTTCGCACGACAGCGAAGCTCCGTTACGGCGTACAACGGACACGTCTTTTTTCTCAGCCATCGTGACACGGAGGGCTCATTACTTGCCCATTGTGCAAAGCAGAACAATCATTCATGAGGTGTTGCGTTCGCGGCATTACATAATAAGCCGAAGGCGTCAGCGGTACGCCGGTACGCTGTACCGACGTTTCGCTGCCACGCAAGCACCATCAGTCGCATGTGGACTAAGGATACTGCGAGGATCGCCTAGTTCCTTACGCAAGCTGGAACTTGTGACCTCCTCGTTTTAAGGCAAACGCATTGTCCTTTCAGCCATGGGCAGCCGATACATAATAGAGGGCGAATTGAATGCAACGCATCCAGGAAGACGGACTTCCGTTGCGAGATTGGTAAATTACTGGTTTTCAGAGCCAGTGAGATGGTCTATCAGAACGCATTATTTTAGGGTTCTAGTTTACCGTTTATCTGTGTGTTGTAGGCAGTCGTGTGATTAGCTGGCACTTCTGTACTTCGCAAGAACTGAACTATCGGATTACATAAATGACGATTCCCTACTGAAGACATCGAATAATTGACGGACTATTGATGGTAGCAGAAGCAAGCGTCTCTGGACATGCAAATGCGAACTTGGACCGTTCGTCGATGGTGGTTATTAAATATGCTTTTCGAGTGGCCATGAATAATGGTCGCCTGAAGTCTATGCTAAGCCATTCAAATAACTGTTTGGCTTTTATGAGTCAGTTTATGAGTAGTCCATATCAGCGGTTTCAATTTTGCGCATACATTACCCAAATAGGTTATGCGTGCAACGCCTTCCACTTAATAGTCCAGGTTTCTAGAGTGTACCAAATTAATCATCCTGTCTACTCCAGCGGTGACCTAATGCATCGGTTTTGATCCGTTAGTGGCACACTAAGTTAAAGAGCTTATCAGCCACTTGAGTATAGCTCCCAGATCTATAGGTGATATGATAGCGATAGACAGGCAGGCTATCCCCGGATTTTGTTTAGCATCAGGCAGGAAGGCTTCATGCCGTTGATGAGTCTGAGGTGTTTCCCAGGAAAGTAGTGCTGTCACTTTCGAACGGCTTTTACAATAGCGCCCGCTTCATTTTCTATGGCCGAGGGATACTTTTCGCTGGGAGACAGGGTATGCGAGGCAAAGGTTACTGGTCGGTTGTTCTGACTCAGTGAGTCACCTATGTCTACGTCGGATACAACCGTTAGAACAACCAAAGGAATCTTATAATTGACGTACGAAAACGTAGCATTCTCTTGGATCAGTTTATGCTGTTCGGTTGCACTTTACGAGGGCATTGGAAACGAAGACACTCAGTTCTCCATGGGCCTTCCACTTGGATCCGTTTTCATGCGCAGACGTTGAACATAGGATCAAGCTGTTGAAATTGTATAAGGCCGCAGGGTCCAATAGGATTTCTGTAGCTCTTTACAAATTCGTATGACCAGCTATTGTGGATGATTTACACACCTTACTAATGGATCTGTGCGAGCAAGAGGTTGTCCAAACAGACTGGAGCCGTTCCGTTATAGTGCTAATTTTCAACGGAGGGTCATGTTCGATATGCGGCAATCGCTGATGAATCAGTCTGATTTCAATTACCTCTAAGTTACTTGCATCTGTCGTTATCCATAGACTGGCTGGTACTCGTGGAAGGCAGCATTGTGAAGAACAAGTCGGGTTTCTTTGAAGTCGGGGTTGTATTGACCACATCTTCACATTACGTCAATTGTTGAAACACCGCCATATTTATTGGTGACCCACCGTAGTCGCGTTCTGCGACATCAAAGGTGCCATAGATTCGTTGAACCAATGAGCTCTTTTGAACTGTCTGCTAATGAAAGTGTGGCTGACCAATGTGTTAACATTAGCAGAACGTTGTACACGCACAGTTCGGGCAGTGTGAGGGCTTATGGCAAACTATCGTTGCCCTACGATGTCTCCAGCGGTGTGAGACAAGGTTTCCCGCTGTTCCCTTTTCCATTTAGCTTCACTATTGACGAAGCCATGAGAACTGCGTTCACTGGGCACAACCTACACGGAGTGGAGCCGATTCCAAGTGATCGACTTGTTGACTTAAAGTATGCTAGAGCAGCGCCACACATACCGTAGACCGACAATATTTGTGTTCCTCGGTCTCAAGAATGCATTCCGTTCGAAATACATGCACGGAAAGGTGTTTCCATGAGATATATGAGCATTTTACGTGCGGTATACTTGAGCACGACCGGTCGCGTCGGGGTCTACGGTGACCTGTCGGATGACTTTCCGACAACAAGTGGCCTTCGTCAGGGTTGTCTGATTTCCCCGTTTTTGTTCAACTTCGTCGTGGACTACATCATGAAGTGTTACCTTGCGGAGCCTCATGATGCAGACGTTGAGGTGCTGCCTGGTGAAAAACTAGTTGATCTTGATTATGTGGACAATATTGTCCTGCTTTTTAACGAAGTTGGTGCGGTGCAATCAACCGTGAACAAACAAGCGTGGTCCTATTTGGCATGCGCTTTGCACCTTCAAAGTGCAATGTTGCTGCAAGACCACCAGCCACCCCTTGACCATTCATAGAAAAATCCTCAAGGTAGCAGATCAATTCACTTACCTTCGCAGCTGCATCAGCAATAATGGGTGCATAGCTACTGAAGTCAATTCACATATTGCAAAAGCCAGAATCGCCTTTTTAAATCTACGGCATCTGCGCCGTCAGGAAGGGATTTCCCTCCGTCTGCAAGGCCGTTTTCAAGGCCACGGTGAGCGCCACCCCACTCTATGGGAGTGAGACTTGGCCCCTCCTATCTGAGGATCTGCAGCGCCTTCAAATCTTTGCTCATCGTTGTCTGCGAAACATTGCTGGTTTCGGATGGGACCAGCGTGTTCGCAATGATGATGTGCGTAAGCAATTACTAGGCCATAATAACCAGGCTAGTTCCTTAGAACAACAGAAAACGCTGAATAAGTTACATTGACTTGGGCACGTACTACGTGTGCCTGTTCATCGCTTACCGAGGAGGGCCTTGTTTTGTTTACCAGATGCAGGGTGGCACAAGGCCCAAAGTAAACAAAACTTGACTTGTTAACGAGAAATAAAGTCACTGACGACCCATCTCAGTGCTGTCGGTCCGTCTCGCCTTCCGGACTAGAGTCCACCTAACCCGCCTTGTGCTTGGCTTGAGTCTGCATGAAATGGCTCGCAGTCGACACCAGTGACGTGGCTGCTGTCGTCTCTTAGTCGGATTGCCTGTTTAAAGTGTGGTGCTGAGTTATCTACGGGGTAATGACTGATTATGACACGGGGCAGTGAAAGCCACAAGAAAACTGTCTCGCCGATGCTACCTTATTGTTTCACGATAACCAGCTGTTTGTGACCGTTTGTTGTTGTTAAGGTGTAGGCACCTTGACCCTGAATGTTTGCTTAGGTCATTAAGGCTTTACTCTAGATTCTCATTCTCTCCCACTTGTTATTCCTCATCCCGTTGGTCACCGTGGTTGTGCGCCAGCGAAGCATCAGTTAAAGTGACTGATGTAATTGTTGGTGATGACGTTATCTCTTGTCGTGGAGTTCTCATAGTGAACTCCCACATTTATCCCTTCTTTCAAAGCCCTTTTATAGAAATCCAGTGTCGCCTCCGTAATCGTTCATTCCACCATCGCAATGTGGCTGGACCTTACCGTAGTGCCATGGTTTGTATGCCTCTGCGATCCATTGAGCTATGCTGGGTGGTGCTTTTGCACCTTACCACTCATACCAGATTGGTCATTGGTTAGAGGCCAGACAAACTCAGCCTCCTGGCCATCCAGGTTGGGGGTTGGAATGAGGGTGGCACCTTATTCCTTAAGACGGACTCCTTGTAGTCTAACGCCAAACCCGCTTTCTTGCGGTAAGGTTTTTGAACCAAAGGCTTTGGTCGAGAACCCTAATCGTTCTCCTGTCTAGGCCTGGGCAACCTGACAGTATCCTGCCCACGCAACAATATGAATCGTTCGTCAAACAATTTCTTGATGCTCTGGCCACCGCAGAGGATAACAACGGTGCCATATCTGCTGCATCGAGCAGGGTGGATAGGGTTTTGGATGCTACTGCTCAAGCCTTCTCGTCTTTTTATTCCCCTTATTCTTATTCCCCCTCATCGTCCCGTTCCAACTTCATTTTTATCCCCCGTTTTCAAGCCCCCGATTCTTGGCCCTCCGCCAACGTGCTTTGCTAGGCGTTTATCTTCTAATTTCAACTCATGCTAACGCGGAGCGTCACTCCTCTCCTGTCGACAAGCCAATGTCCAACCGAGCGATCCATTCCAGTTCATCGACTTCCATTTGGAGCCCTCGACCCTCCTTCAGATTGGATGCCTCAATGTACTCACATTTTTACAGATCGGTCAACAGGCAGCACTTGCCCGGACATTGGAGACCCTCTCGATCGATATCTGCTGCTTATCAGAGACCCGCCTGCAAGACTCTAGCTCTGTGCTCACTCTGCGATCCCCTTCAGGTGACGCAAGCAGTATTTTCTCATTGCGCCTATCCGGTGACGATGCAGCTTCGAGCACCGGCCAAGCTGGTGTTGGCATTGCCCTGAGTCCCCGGGCTGAAGCTGCTCTGGTTGATTGGATTCCAATCAGTAGCCGGATGTGTGCGGTCCGATTGGCTGGCTCGTTCAAAGCTTCGAAGTCGCGCGGGACTAATAGGTGTCTATTCATCATTGCTGCCTACGCGTTCACAAACGTTAACGATGATTCGGTCAAGAACGACTTCTACCGTCAACTGACCCAGCTCCTTCACCACGGAAGAAGCACGGACACTGTTGTGCTGGCGGGGGATATGAACGCACAAGTTGGAAAGTTGTCCACTGGTGAAATGCATCTGGGCGGTCAGCACAGTAGGCTCCCGTAATGATAACGGTGAGCGGTTACTTCATTTGTGTGAGGATGCCCGCTTATTTCTTGCGAGCATTAACTTCCGACACAGCACCCGCCGGAGGGTAATTTGGCGCCCACCAGCCTTGGAGGCAGATCGACCACATTGCTATCAGTTACCGCTGGAGAGGCTGCATCCAGAACTGTCGCTCGATTTGGAGCACGTGTGGACATCGATCATGCACTTGTATGTGCTGACATGCGTGTGCGTTTTGGCGGACGCTCACGACGACGCTGTGAGCGCATTGACACCAGTCAACTGACAAAGCCAGCTGTTCTGAATGCGTATCGAAGTATGCTGACATGCGAGTTGAGTAAGCGCTCACTGGAGACAATTGATGGTCACTGGTCACATGTTCACCAGACCTTACTAGCAGCAGGAAAATTCTCATGTTGTATGTCTAATCGCCAACATGGACATTGGGTCTCTTCGGTGTCTCTGGAACTGATCGACGCTCGCCGGCATATTCTGGCTGGAAGCGAAAACAATGAAACTCGCAAAGAGCGCCGGGCGCGACTCCGTGCTAGCCTGAAGAGAGACCGCGAATCTTGGTGGTTTCATCGTGCGTCAGAGATGGAACTGGTCACTGCCCTTGGCAACCATCGTAAGTTATTCCGTCTGATACGGGAAACGGGCAGCAGGAGATCTGGTGTTAGTGAAACTATACGTGACGAGAGTGGACAGCCTATCCACAATTTGTCAAAACGTTTGGAGCGTTGGGCTGAGCATCTTGTAAAGCCGGCCATTGATCGCCCTGCTCCGTGGGCTGTCCCTTTGGATCCACCATGTCGTTCAGTAGTGGAACGTGAGATCAAACTGTTGAAGTTAAACAAAGCCGCGGGACCAGATGATCTTCCTTCAGCCCTCTTCAAATTCGAAGGCTCTGCTCTTGTTGATGCCTTACATACATTACTAGTGAAACTGTGAGAGCAGGAGACTGCCCCAACCGACTGGAGCCGCTCCGTTATTGTTCCCATCTTCAAAGGAGGCTCGCGTTCGGAATGCGGCAACCATAGAGGAATCAGTCTGGTCTCCATCGCCTCCAAATTGCTTGTCTCTGTGATCCTTCACCAACTGACTGGCACTTGTGAAAGCCGGATTCGTGAGGAGCAAGCCGGGTTTCGTCGTGGTCGTGGCTGCTTGGACCATATCTTCACCTTGCGTCAATTGGTGGAGTACCGTCACACATATTGGCGGCCCACCGTAGTCGTGTTCCTCGACATCAAAGGTGCCTTCGATTCGGTTGATGGATGTGCCCTTTGGAAATGTTTACTCAGGAAAGGTGTGCCCGAGAAATATGTAAATATTATCCGAGCATTATGCGCGCGTACCACGGGCAGAGTGAGGGCTTACGGCAAGCTGTCGCCACCCTTCAATATCTCCAGCTGTGAAAGACAATAATGCCCGTTGTCACCTTTCCTCTTCAACTTCGCTATTGACGAAGTCATGGAGGTTGCATTTACAGGACATGACTTGGAAGGTGTGGAGCTACTCCCAGGAGAACGACTTCTTGACTTGGAGTATGCTGACGACATTGCCCTCATGTGTGACAGCTCCCAGACGTACCAAACCGCGCTGGATAGATTAGTACTGGTTATCAGGCGTTTCAGGCTTTGCTTTGTACCATCGAAATGCAAAGCGTTCCTCCAAGATTGGCAGGGATCGCCTCCTGCGCTGTCCCTTGATTGGGATCAAATAGAAGTCTTTCACAAATTCAACTACCTGGGAAGTTGTATCAACACCCTTGGGATCGAAGACGTGATCACGAACCGTATAGCAAATGCTCGTAGTGCTTTTGCTACATTACTCTTGCCCTGAAGGGTAGAGTGTACAATGCAGCGTTACGTTCGACCTTACTGTACGGTTGTGAAACCTGGCCCCTAAGGTCCGCGGACTTGAAGAGGCTGGTTACTTTCGAACATCGGTGCCTTCGCATCTGGTGGGAACATCGCGTGAGTAACGAGCGTGTTTGACGCCTTGTTTACGACACAGAAAAAGGAAATGAACCGCTCAGCACCGTCATTTCACGCACCAGGCTCCGATGGCTGTGCCACTCGTTGCGCATGCCAGCGCACCGACTTCCACGACGTGCATTGTTTGCTCGCCGGGGATGTGGATGGAAGAAGAGGAGGGGTGGCCAAGCGATGACTTGGTCCGGAGGAATGAAGGTCATCACTTCAGAGCTGGCTTTGGTTGGAGCGTCACGGCTTCCTGGTTGGGGTCCAAAAGACGATGAGCACGTTTGGCTGGATACATTTGCTGACATGGCAAGGAGCCGACCTCAGTGGCGTTCCTGTTGTGAGTTTCTTTGTCCCTCCCCATCCGTTTTAGCCTCCCCCTCCACCTACGATCTCATTTCGTAGCGTAAAACAATAATTTTTCCTTTTTACCTGGTAGCCGGCTGATAGGTAACCGACGATGCCTATCCGTTGCTGGTAGCTCAGTTGGCATGCAACTGTTGTGTTTATTTTCCTTTTCCTTTATGTATTGCGGCACAGTAGCTGTGGTGTTTCCCACCTCTGACGTGTATAATGATGATGACGAGTCGTTCATTCCATTAACCATGTTATGTAGTGCTTATTCACTGCCCCATGCTGAGGCTGATGTTGCATTCTTGATGCTTCTTCACCGCAGTTGGGCTAAACCAACTTACACTTAAACTAGGTCTTTTTAAGCTGGCTAAATTTCATTCCGCTTTATTTGGTTTGTTCTGCCTCCCTGAATAATGTTCTATTAACTGGCCACGTTGCTTACACTAATTGCGCTTATTTTCGGTAATATTGTTGCGTTTGTAGCATTTTAAGTAACTTGTGGACATTTCTTACTTATCACGGATTTGTTGCTAACCAACTTACTCCATATGGTAATTTAGCGAAGAGTTATGCCACCGTAGCTGTATGCATTATTGGATTTATTTAATTTCAGCTTGTCGTTTAAAGTGAATGGCTGTTGTTTGATATCCCTGGTATGGTTGCGCTTGATGTGTATGTTGACAAGGTGCCTACCTGTCTATTACCCACTACATCGTTCATACTGGCTCCAGGAGACAGTTGGTCGTTGCTGGAGGGGACGGGGTGCACGGTTCTTGTGGCCGTGCTAGGCTCAAAGAGCGGTTCCATGCACTCAGTGTGGAGCGGACTACGGTCCAGCCACCGCCTTGTGTGCGGTTGATTCCCCAAATACAGCGTGCTTGTGTTTGCCTGTGAAGGAGTGTGGGCCGGCTCCGTTGATGAAACGTGGTTCCCATCCGCATGTCTCCTGGTCTTATTCCTTCGGGTTTACACTGGATATGGGGTATGTGGTTGGAGCTGTGGGTGGTGCAGCGCAAGCCATCCATGGTCCCTCTGTAGGCGCAGGCGTCCTGTGGCTTGCCACAGTGACAGGCAAATCCGAAACCGGATGCCGCCAACCATTCACTGCCTTTGGTAAACTATTTGTCAACCGGCTACCTTATGGCTCCTTTGTGACTCTTCCTCAGCCGATTTCCAAGTTTTATTCATCACCGTTACTTTTAGCCGGCTTCATTGGCACGCCATCGGTGAAGCACTCACCTGTGTGGATTCCGGACTCCGAGACCAGCTCATGTATGGCATGTCATTCGACCCTGTTCACACTTTTTCAGAGAAAGGTGAGTCGATTTTTCCGAACTGTCTCGTTTAACTTAACCTGACGCAGTTTTCTTTTTGCGGAAGATTAATTCGAAGTTTTTGTTTCACAGGACCTCTATTTTGTCTTATGTTTCATCAGCAGCTTTTGTTGCTTAGATTTAACGCTTTATGCGGGCCACTTACAGATCCAAGTGATTATTGACCACTTACTGATTGGAACTTCAGGAGTCGATTGATCCACGTGAGCTGACCGTTTAGTCAGCTCCTACTTTACTTTACTACGGCTAATTCCTGCGACAGGATGAGTCAGCTTCATGAATGTCGCGAATTGCAGCTGCCCAAGCGCGGCGGTCGGCGGCATGCTCAACACAGATACCTATCCTGTGCTTCCTCCAGGGACGAGCACCATGCACAACATGGAGTCCCAGAAGATCGACATCCGATTTCACTGCAGTGAGCCACGTTTTCAATTGTCCACCACGGCAACGACACCAACCCTGGCAAGGTGAGGGTGAAGCCACGTCCCTAGTGAATTCAGTGTCTGGTCTGCGGAGGACGTGACCGAACCACTGAAGTCTGCGGCGTTGGATAGGCGTTGTGAGCTTTGAAGAGCGTAACAGCGCTTACGGATTTCACTGGTGATACTCACATGCCACTCTGTTTACAAAATAATCCTTAGACACCAATGGCCGAAGACTTCCAGCTTCCGAGTGTCTTCGGATCGCAGCGGCAATGTTTCGCAACCATAGAGTAAACTGGCACGAATGCTTGCTAAGTATACTCAGATCTTCGTGTTCAGACTAATTTCTGTCCTTCGCCACAATGTTTCTCAGTTGTAAGAAGGCTGTTCTAGCGCTGTCAATACGATTCCGGATTTCGGATGTAGTCTGACCGTTGGGGTGTATAGTTGTCCGATATTTGAATTCAAGGACAGATTCGATGAGTTGTCCATGTAAGGAGAGCGACGGGGCGGAATGGTGGCTAACGATGAAAAGTAATCTGTCTTGCTGATGTTAATTTCGAGGCCGATCATAGAAGCTGATTGGTCGACACGATTTAGCAGTGACTGTAGTGATATAGCATCTTCCACAAGAATAGCGATCTCGTCAGCAAATTCTAGATCTGACAACCAGAAGTCAGGGATAACTTGAACACCACGATAGCCCCTCAAGGGCATGATGCGTAACCCAATCGACTGCGAAGTTGAACGGCACTGGAGAAAGTGGGCAACCCAGTCGGACTCCAGTACTGATGTCGAATTCCTTTGTTTTTTCTCCATAGACCCCAATCCGGGCCTTCGGGCAACGGTAGTATGATATTATCAAGTTAGCGAGTTTAATCGGCACGCCATCGGCAAGTAGGATTCCTCAGAGTGCTTCGCGGTCAGCTGAGTCAAAAGCAGTTCGAAAATCAACGAAGCATACAAACGTGGGCTGCTGGAACTGGTAGCGGTGTTCGAGTACTCGACGTAGAGGGAAGATTTGGTCAGTGTCTGGTCGAAAGCCACCTTGGTTATGGCGAGTTCGCAGCTTCCTCTCATTGGCAAAGTGGGAAAGCAAGATTCGTGCGAACGTTTTGGCAGCCACATCAATTTGGCTAATCCCGCGATAATTACTGCACACAGTTCGGTCACCCCGAAAAATGCCAGTAGTACTGAGGTACTCCATGCGGAAGGACAGCTTTCGGTCTCCCATGTCGAGCAGAAAAACTCGTGCAAATGTTCAAGGAGCTGATAAACAAGATTTGTAGATTTTCGCTGGAATCCCGTCCGCTTCCGGGGCTTTCTTCGGCTTCAGGTGATGAACGATGCCTGCAATTTCTGTGGGAGATGACAGTGAGCAATCCTGCATCATATCCTGGCTGAGTCAATGCTGAAATGTGTGCGGTGGTGTGTAGTGGGTGGTTTAGGAAGTCGCTAAACTGTTCTGCTCATCTGGAAAGTTTCCTTCCCTATTGAGGATGATTTGGCCTTCCGAATTGCACAATATCGGCTGTGGTGAATGGCGCTTGCCGTAAGCTAAACGGACGAGACGAGAGAGATGATTCAGATTGCCAGAATTTGATTCAGCTTCCATGTTGTCTATGATATCAGATCAGTAGCGGTTGCGATCATTTCGTGCTGAGCAGGTTGCCTCACGTCTCAAGCGACGGTAGTCTGGATATTCGCGAGACGTACTTCTCTCGTTTTAGCGGACAAGCGGATAGTATCTTCAGTGATCCAGTCCTTCACAGACTTAGAGGTAGAACTTAGGGTAGATAAAGC